TGGGTACGTCGCCAGGGTAATTTTTCGTTCCCGGGCGTTGGCACGGGACGAGTTGAATGATACACTTGCGTTGCAATCGATTGCAATCCATTGGATTGCGAACGATTCGATTGCAATCCATTGGATTGCAATCGATTGGATTGCAATCGGTTGAATTGCAATCGATTCAATCGATTGGATTGCAGGGGAGGGACAGGACGGAAGGGAGGGAGGGGAGGAGAGGGAGGGGAGGGAGGAGATGGAACGAAGGGTGTGGAGGGAGGGGAGGGAGTGGAGGGAGGTGGGGAGGGGGATTGCAGTGGAATGGAGTGCAATCGATTGCAAGCGATTCGATTGGGATTTTCGATCGTCGATCGTTGATCGTCGATCGTCTTTTGTCTATTTATCCTCGATCGTGGATTTGTTATTTTGGATCGTCAGGCGAAAGGGAGGGCGAGCTCGGGGGTCTGGCGGCCAAGGGGGGAAGGGGGGGGGCTTCTAGCCCCCCCCCCCTTTGACAAAGGGAGGGGGGGGGGAGCTTCCAGCAGGGCGTCTCCAAGGGAGGGGGGGGGTAGCTTCAGCACCCCCCTCCCTTTGGAAAGGGGGGTAGGGGAGGGGTAGCTTCCGGGGCGGCCAAAGGGGGGGGGGAGGTGGGTAGCTTCCAAGCACCCCCCCCCCCCTTTGCACGAAAGGGGGGGGGAGAGGGGTAGCTTCCAGCAGGGCAGCGCCAGGGAGGGGGTGGTAGCTTAAGCACCCCCCCGTCTTTGGTAAGGGGGGGAGGGGAGGGGGCAAGCTTGGGGGGAGGGCCCAAGGGGGGAGGGGGGGGTAGGGCTTGGAAGACCCCCCCCCTTGCCAACAAAATGGGGGAACGGGGGGGGGTGCTTCCAACAAGGGCGGCTCAAGGGAGGGGGGGGTAGCTTAAGCCTAGCCCCCCCTCCCCTTTGCTCGGGCCCTGCGGGCGCGCTCTCTCCTGGGATTTTTCTCCCCCGCCCTGATTAAAATCCGGGTGAAAGACTGATACTTCAGAATGTTGGAACGGCTCTCTGGTGAAAAACGGGGCATCCTCCCTCGGGTTTGTTATGATGTGTTGCGTGAGGCTTTAGCCTCTAGGAAGTACACGGCCCTTCAGAAGGCCCACATCAGGGCTTTTGCCACGGAAGCGTTTTTCACTGGAGAGAAAGCGGTCAGTTTAGGCTACATCGTGGACGACTGCTGCCCCCTCTGCGGGGGCCTCGATTCAGTTGTTCATAGATTGTGGGAGTGCTCCCACGGCCTTGTCGCCGAGCTGCGCGCAAGCTTAGTGGACGACAGTGCGGTTTCGGCCGCTCTGGCTGCTAAGGACAGCGTCGAGGACGCCTTCGTTTTCTCTACAGGGGCTTTCCGCCACCCCGCCGACACCTATCCCAGGCCCCTTACTGAGTCGGAGGATGGACCGTTTCTTGCGTGGCACCATCAAGGGATCTTCTCTCCTTCGGGCCAGCCTCCTGGACGGGAGGTCTGGGGCAACGTCTTCATAGATGGTTCGTGTTTGTGCCATCCCATCCGTGAACTGTCCAGGGCCGCAAATAGCGTGGTCATGGTCGACGACACTGGTGACTCCATGTGTGAGTTCAGGGCCCCTGTCTGGGCTCCGTACCCGCAAGCGCCGCAGTCTGCCGAATTTGGCTGCTGGGCATGAGCCAATGTTCTCGCCTCTGCGTCGGTGTCTGTGTTCAGTGATTGCAGTGATGTGGTCAACCTTGCGTCTAGGCCTCGGTGCGAGTAGCTGTCGGGCAAGAGAGCTTATTCAGGGGCGTTTCTGCAGATTCTCGCGCAGGGCGGCCAGCCCGCGACGTGCATCAAAGTTGCGGCGCATGAGGATCCCGACGATCCGAATTTAGATGCTACCGAGCGCTGGAGGCGCGTCGGCAATCGCCACGCGGATGCGGCAGCCGAGCACGCCGTTCGCATCCATCCTTCTTGTTCAGACAAGCTTGATGCCGCTGACAAGCTAGTGTTGCATGCTCGCCAGACCATCCGTCTGGCCGCGTACGCGCTGCACCTTTGGCCTCCGCTCGATCTTTCGGAAGCCGAGCGTCGGATCCCGATTCCATCGTCCAAAGAGGCCACTGTTGGCCACAGATGGGAGTTCTGGTCTGGCGCGCGGAGGTGTGCTGTATGTCTCAGGGGCCGCAAATCGGGCGAGAAGCCTGCTCCTGGTGTCTGCCCTCAGGACTCGCCCCTGCACGCTGCGCATCAGGATGCGCTCGAGCATCCTACGGTTGCGTTTGATTGTTCTGATGGCTCGGTCCTGTTCATTTGCACGAGGTGCAAGTGCTATTCCTCAGGGGCCTCCGTCCGTGGTCTCGCCTCGGAGTGTCTCCCGCCCCCCCCCGCTCGCGCGGCCAGATGTAGCTGGAGTTACCTGTGCAAGGATAAGCACCCCAACTACGTTTTGCGCAAGGCGGGCGTCACGGTAGATACTGGCAATATCATACCTTGTTTCACGCCTCGCTCTCTCTTTCTGGCTTGAGTGCGGTCCTGGGTGAGCAAAGCCCCCCTGGTGACAACATGGGCGTGGCGCCGTCGCCTGCCCGCACCGTCGCCCTTCAGTCTCGAGGGTCTCTTCCCTCAGCTCGCAGCGCACTCACCTTGGACAGTGGTGAGGCCCTGCTGAGCAGGCCAGCTGCTTTGCTCACAGCATGCTGGCGACTGTTCCTGGTGCCTCCGAGCGGCGTAGAGCCAAAAAAAACACCATGCCTGGGGCCATTCTCAAGAACGGCGAGAAACAACTCCCGTACCACGCGCAGCGCGCGCGTTGCGCATTGGTGTGGCCGAGCCGTTGGTCACGTTTTTGTTTTCATGGGTCAGGCTAGCTCTGGCGCGGTGTCGACAGGTGCTTCTCTTTCCTCCCGGGTCCCAGAGGCCAGAGGAAGATGCGTTCGCTCGCAGGCGGGCGGCTCCGAAGGAGAAGGCCCGCCCGATGCCGCGGCCGCAGTGGCTCCAACGGCGCGCAGCGCGAAGCGAGATGGAATGAGAGCGAGCTCCGAGTTAACTCGGAAGGGTCTTTAACGCTAAGCGGCCCTTCCCCCTTTGAGCTTCCCGCTGGGAATTCAACTCACCCTTCCGATCCTCGTCCTTCTCCTCATCACCATCACCATCAGGAGTCCTCATCCCCCCCCCCCGGATCATCAGCGGTGGCCGCCGCCGGTTTTTTAAGAGGGGGGGGTTTTAAAGACCCTTCGCGGTTATTGGTCAGGTTCCGCGAGATGCGCAGGAAGCGCGAAAACGAGCGTGGACAGGTCAGCCGACTGTTTCCTCCTTCGTGGTGACGATTCGATTGCAGGGCCGATCCGAGTCGATCGACGACTCAGTGCCGGGGGCCGCCCTCCGTAGGCGCAGACGGAGGCGAGGCAAACGCGCACACATACAATCGAGAACGTCCAGAACACACAGTCGTCGAGCCTCGGTCCTCGGTCCCCGAGCCTTGGCCCTCGATCCTCGATCCCCCCTTGCCGACTCGGCCTAAAGGGAGGCGAAGCGCAGCCACCACCAGCACCAGCGGGCCAGCCCCAGCGAGGCGGCCCACGAAGTCTTCCCGAGCCAGAGGTCGGAGGTGCATGGCAGTGGGGCGCCGCAGAGGCAGTGGGGCCGCACCAGCAGGACGAGACCGTGCGATCCGCTCCGAAGCGGGGCGTCATACACATCCACCGCTTGGCAGCCCGATCTGCCTGGGCCTCCGGTGGCGGTGGATATGGACATCGTTAGGCCATCTCCGGGGCTTATATCTACGGGCTTGAGGGGGCCACGGGGGCAGGGGCCACAGGGCCGTCGAAGAGCAAGTGCCCGCAACGGGAGCAGCCAAACGAGGTCGATGCAAATGCGCATTGCCGTGAACGTGTAAGCCATTGCGGGCGCCCCCGTGTAGAGGCAGTGCGGCCACGAAGCACGGGCGCGCACGCGCATTGCATCAGGACGCAGTGCAACATTCTGATCCATCCATCTCCGACTCCTGTTCTTTCCCCCACCATCGGACGTACCGCCGCCCTCGAGGAGCGCAAGGTGCGGGGGAAACGTTCGGGCCGTGCGAATGCAATCTTTTTCGGTGTTGCAGATGCAACATGTACCTATTTCATGTGTGTCTTGATGCTGCACATACCTCGGCCCATGCAAATTCAACCTATCGGCGTTGCGTTTGGTGCGCGCAGGGTTTGCTGTGTCTGGGATCGTAGTTCCCAGGTCCTGCGGGACTGGACTGGTCTCAAGATGTCGGTGAACTGGAAGATCACCCCAGATGCAAAACATAAGTGTTGCCGCTGATGGAGTTTGGCAGCACCGTCAAAGCCAGTTAGCGACGTCGCTGCGGCATGCAGTTGCGATTCGAATTTGGTCGAAGGAAACGTCGATAGAACATCAAGCGATCGCTTCAGAAAGTGTCGGCGCTGGGTGGCGCGGCGGCGTTGTCTTCCTGGCGCTCGGTGCCTCCTCCTTTATGTGGTATCCAATCGCATGTGCGCGTTCATGAACGTCGGCTCCCGAGGCGGTGGATGTGCACAAATCCCTGCTTCAAATGGATGCGAATCCAGTTGTAAGCATCGTGCCAGATCAGACTGAAGCTCGCCAGGTGAGCCGAGGGAGGTCGCAGAGACAGCCCACTCGTGCACCACGGCAGCGCTGGCTGGTAGGAGACCAGCCGTGTCGTGAGCAGTTTCAGACGCCTGAGAGGGGTACGGAAAGACATGGGTACGATGCCCAACTACACATGTGGTCTAAAACCAACAGCGGGCGCTGTTGGGCAGTCGGCCTTCTGCCTCAAATGGACCACGTCCGCGGCGACACCGACGGCGAGTTCTGTCCAAAACGAGCAGGCACTGCCGTCGGTCGTCGTGCCAATTCTTTTCGTATCACATTCGAGCGCACCGAGCAGTCGTTCCATGATGCTCTGGCCGCCGCGTGTCGAGCCCGCAGATGCTGCGCTGCACTGCCAGCGCGTGCAAACTGGATCACCGCCTCCCGCCTGCCCTCCAGCCCCCGTGCGCCAGGCCGCCCCCCCGCAGGAGGAGCCGCCGCCAGCGCCGCAGGCGCGCGCGCGCCGCGGCGCACTTCCACCCCGCTGCCTGCCGCCGGCGCGGCGCATGCCGGCCCTTGGCATCGCTCGGGCGTGTGCTCGTTCTCTCGGCGAGGGCCATCGATGAGCATCCTGGATCATCGAGCGACAGAGACACGCACGAGGCCGAGCAATGCACGGGGAAGACACGTCCGAGCGATGGCAGGAGCCTCCCCACCTCACCAGGCAGCAACTGACCTCGGCCAGAACAGAACTCGGGCAGGATGAACTCGGTCAGGACAAAACTCGGCCAGGCTGAGCTCGGCCCTGCCGAATCCCGCCCCTGGCCAAGTTCAGCCTTGCCAGGTTCGGCCTGGCGGGGTCTCGCCTGGCCGAGCTGACTTCGGCCCCCGGCCGAGTTCAGCCTTGCCGAGCTCAGCCTAGCCGAGCTCAGCCTGGCCGAGTCTGTCCCGTGCCTCTCAGAGGACCGCCGCGGGAGGGCCCCGATGCGGCCCCGAGATGTCCGCCCCCCTGGGGAAAAATTAACGACTGGAGCCCTCGATCTTCTCTGCCTGCGTCGCTCTTCGGGTCGGATCGATCCCTGAGGGTCCTGGGGCCCGAAGCGGGGCGAAGTCGTCCAGCTCAAAAAAGGTGGGACGCCAGGATCTCCTAACTCAGACATGCGATCTCCTGAGTTTTTCAGTGCGGTGTCCCCAGAAATCCCGATCCTTTCCCTGGGGCCGGTTTTTTATCCTGAGTCGTTTTTTGACGCTCCCGAGGCTCAGCGAGGGCCTCCCGAGGCCCAAAACTAGCAAAAACCTCCCGTCCAGATTTTTTCACGACGCGATCATGTCTGGGGAGGGAAGCGTACCCTGAGACTTCTCGCGGGCATCGGGCACCCAGGGCCCTCTCCGGGCCCCAGGCCCGTCAGAGCACGACTCGGGGTGAGGAGCTGATCCCTGGGAGAAGGTTAGCAGGGTAATTACAGGATCTGGCTCCCTTCAGGACCCGCTTCCATGAGCAGGGAAGAGAAAACACACGGACACGCGTGATCGTCGATCGCTAGGAAAACAAGAGCAGCATGAGAAGCGGAGGGGAAGACGAACATCCAGGAAAGATGGAACATATGGGGCCTCCTGGGATTTGTATCTATTTGTGTCTATTGGTGTGTGTGTGTGTGTGTTCGTGTGTGTGTGCGTGTGTCTATTTATGTGTGTGTCCCTGGGCCCACGAAGGACGGCTCCATGGCCCCCCCTCCTCCACGGGTGGCCCCGAGGCACACAGGGGGCCCCACAGGAGGCCGGGAGGAGGCCGAGTGGCACCCCGCGGGCATCGACAGCGCCCCCCGATTGGCCTGTCGGCGTGCACCGACCGGGTTGCGACGTTGCGCTGTCCGGCAGTCGGGATGTTTCTCGGGTGGGAAAGCCGGGAGCCCTCGAGGCGGAGGAGACTGGGCATGAGGGAGGGGGTGGTGAGAATGAGAAGGGTTGGGGGTGGAGGCCGTCGAGGACGATGAGCAGGAGCAGGGGCAGAGCGGGGACCAGAATGCGCAGGAGAAGGAGGACGGGAGGTTGACAAGGCGTCGAGCAGGAGGAGGAGCCGCAGCAGCAGCAACAGCAGCAGCAGCAGCAGCAGCTACAGCAGCGGCAGTAGGATGAAGAAGAACGGAAGGAGGCGGGGTTGGAGACGGGGAGTGCGAGGAGGGGTAGGAATGGAATGGAATGGCTAGTGGTCCCCCGGACGGTGATCACGAATAGTCTGAGGTCTCACGTCTCACCTTCACAGGGAGCCCAATCGCTGCCAGGATTGTCAGGCTTTCGTACTGCGCGGTGCCCTGGCTCGACCACCCAGTCGAGGTTTGACCTCAGCAGCCGCAGCGGTGCTCGGCCGCCTGCCTCACCTCGACCATGTGGCATCAGCAGCTGCTCCCACAGCGGTCGTAACAATAGAGCCTCGTCGCGTGGGATCCCCCCCCCGGGACGTGTAGATGCAGCCGTCGGTCGTCATATACGGCGTCGCGGGAACGCGCCTTCCTGGAGGAGGCGGAGCCGCTCGCGGTATTTCGCCCCAGACCCGGAACCCTTGCAGGTGCCCCTCATCTTGGCGTTGGGCGTTGGGCCGGAAAATTACCCCCATACAAGAAGCACTAGATAGTGCATATAGCTGGAAGCCTTGGATGCGCGATCACAGTTGCGAGCGCCCACTGCCCCGCAATAGCTACATGCCCCAAGGACGATCCCAAGACAGTTCGAGCTCGCGAAAGCCACCGTGGACAGGATCCAGCGCACGCTGTCGGGCCGTCTTGGATATTTCGACGATCGGAATGCCGAGTTTGCGAACACCATGCGCGAACCCAGTCCTTCAATGATTTGGACGTCTCGGGCCCGCCCCTCAGGCTCCCAAGACGACCCAAAGTGGCCCCCGAGACAGCCCCAGGACGGTCCCACGGGGCCATCTTCGAGCACGTTCGCAGGAGGGAGCCCGAAACCGCTCCCTAGAAACGTCGTGCGAGAGGCTCTGGCAGCACCCGGAGCTCCCCAGGACCTCTGGGGCCTGGGCCCTCCAAGTGCCTCTCACAGTGTTCAATGTAGAGCATTCGAGCGGACGTGAGGACACTCCACTCCCTGCCTCGCGGCACGGTGGCGGGAATGCACATGCAAACGCGCGCGTGCACTTGCAATGTTATGTGCATGCGCGCGCGTATGTATACGATCGTCCACACCCCCGTACGTCAGTTGATGCGCACCTGTTCGTGTGCATTCGTACGTACATCTGCGCGGCACATGTAAGTGTACTTACGCGTTCATTTGTCAGAGTCGAGATGCGCATTCTTGAACATGGTTGTGTGTATCTGTCCCAACGGGTGCCTGCGCAGCGTGGATCGTACATGTCCTGACCAGGATACACGGATCTACGCGCGGGAGTGCGTGCCAGGAGGGGACATGCGCGTGCGTGTTTGTGTGCTGTGCGTGCGTGCGTGCGTGTGTGTGTGTGTGTGTGTGTATGTGTGCGTCTGTGTCTGTGTGTGTGTGTGTGTCTGTGTGTGTGTGTGTCTCTGTGTGTGTGTGTGTGTGTGTGTGTGTGTGTCTGTGTCTGTGTCTGTGTCTGTGTGTGCGTGCGTCAGTGTCGGCGTGCGGGCATGCCTGCGTGCGTGCGTGCGTGCGTGTGTGTGTGTGTGTGTGTGTGAGTGTGTGCGTTGTTGAGTGTGTGTGTGTGTGTGTCCTTTTGTGGACCTCGTCGTTCCATCCTTTTCCGTTGCCCTCACGCTCCCAAGCCCCTCACTCGTTCCTCCACGTTTTCTCCTGCGGCCCCATCACCCTGATTTTATTGTTCATGGCACCTGTGGTTGCTGAGCCCCTGTGGGCCTCCTCCTCCTTCGCCTTTTTCTGTGCTCCCTTGTGCGCCGCCATATCGACTCGCAAGGCCTTTGAGCTATCATGGCGCGCCGGTGACGGACGCGACCACGGCTCCGTACAAGGAGAGAACGTGCTCTCTTCTAGCCCGGGTCCCCCTATTTGTACGTCGTGTCTCTCTGTATCCATACAGTCACACACGTACACTCCACAGTGGCAGCGGAGCCTGTGGCTGTGATCCACGAGGGGAGTCAGGACGACCCCCCATTCATTTGATTTTCCGGTGACATACTCCATAACATTCTCCAGTTTTTACCGCTGTGTACCCCGCCAAGGATTCTCCAGACGACGCTCAGCTTCAAGAACATGAATCTCCCTGATAGCCAACGGGGACAACCAAACGACATACGTCCAACCTGGGATGGAACAGATCCAGATATTCGCCCAGACCCCTATGTGAAGGAATTGCAGATGTGGTTTGCTACTGCCAGAACTTTGAAAACACAACGTGGGTACTTCATCTACCGTTATGCCAAAGACGACCTCAATATCATCATTAACGGACTCACTTAGAACCAGTTGTCTGTCGAGGGCGGCGGCCAGGTTGCGTTGAAACACATCTTGAAGGCTTTTGTGGAGCACCAAGACCGCCGAACGCAGAAGGCTTTGGAAACGCTTGTCTATCCAGAAGACAATGAGCGCAAGCGAGAGGAATCCCTGGTCAGCTATTTCGCGCGTAGTAAGCGCGTGCTCTTCCGAGAACTCGAGAAGCACGTGATCCTGCTGGAGGATTTGAAAGGACACGTGCTTCTGAGAGAATCCAAGTTTGATGACGTTGCTTGGGAATACGGTGGAGCACTGGACAGAAGGACCGTACGATTTTGATTTGGCGTGCGAAAAGCTTCGGTAGTTTGAACTACCATTACCTTCTTGCAAAGGAGGCCATCGTATCCACGGCATGAATTCCTCTTCGCATGTTGTCGGGCATCCAGGAGATGCTGGCGGATGCGAGGACCAGGAGTCGAATCGCGACGATGTCCGTGGTACTCTCATGCACCAGCCTTTGTTTACTGTGCCCGAGACCGCTGAGGAAAAGGATATCATGAACGAGGCCATCATGGACGATGACGAGGTAGTTTTCGTAGCTGAGGGCTTGCCCAACGATGTGGTTCTGGAAGATGATGCGGCCATCGCCATCTATGCTAGCTACAGTCAGGTACGACAGTACTTACACAAACGGAAGCTTGGACGAGGCTTCTTCCAAACAGCAGCCCTCGAAGGGAAAGTCCAAAGGCCCCCGAAAATGGAAACGTGGAAGGGAACGCTCGGGGCATGCCTGACCGGAGCGGTGGACCAACAGAGAATGGATGCGCGGGTCGGAGTGTGCACGTTGCGGAAAGATGGGGCACCGGGCTCGAGATTGCGCGAGCGCCGCGAGCGAGCCCGACGAGCGAGGCCGCCAGCGACAAGCAGGCTTCGCCGGCTTCTAAGCAGTCCCCTCGAAGCAGATGATGCGATGCACTGCGTGACGCTTGCCAACAGGAACCTACGATCCAGCCCAGTCTGGAGCCAGTTTCTTCACCTTTCCTATCTTTGCTACTACCCACGCGGGAGGTCAGGTTTTCATTGGACTTCAGGTTCAGATGAGTTCGGCCTGGTGGATGCTGGAGCTCAGCGCTGA